CAAACATATGAGTGACATCAAAAGTTTGAAAAAGAAAGATTTTATTGTAAATTAATTTTGTGATGTGTGTGTCTGCCGCTCTCAAGTCATAGGATTTTTCAAGAGATGCGACCTATGCAACCACTGGTATATGATATGATTTTAACTTTACATAAGAATCTACGGGACAAATATATTCAGGTCCTCCAGCAATGTACTGCCTATATTCAGTCTCCGGGAACGATGCAAGGCTTAGGACTTAGTTTTGGTCTTCAACATCTTTCCAGCAGGTGCATGATGAAATCTATAACTTCCCTGAGGTCAGCATATTGTCCATGTGTGAGCCTGTACATTCTGAGCAGCTGAATTAAGCCTCTCTTGCTAATGACTCCATACGTAACCACAAGTGACTGATGTGTCACTGTAATTCATCCTTAGATTAAAATAAAATCAAGTCAAAAATGTCCACATTTGCAAGTGGCTACAGCTACTGATGATACACCACAGTCATCTCCATATAATTACTAACAATAATTTTCTTGTGGCCACACAAAATGATTTAATTCCCAAACCTTATTTAAGTGCGACCAGATTTAATGATGATGTTCGCTCACGTTAAGAAAGTCTTGTAGGTGCTATATCATAGACAACTGGACTTGCTTGCATATCTAGAAGACATTTTGCCTCTCATCCAAGAAGCTTTAGTTCTAAATGACTAGTACGAAGTTGCAGGCTTTAAAAGTCATTAAATAGTCTTAAACTTGAATTTGTGAGCTCAGTAGCGGCAGTAGCTCAGTCCATAGGGACTTGGGTTGGGAACCGGAGGGTCGCCAGTTCGAGTCCCCGTCCGGACCAAAATATGGAGCGTGGACTGGTGGCTGGAGAGGTGCCAGTTCACCTCCTGGGCACTGCCGAGGTGCCCTTGAGCAAGGCACCGAACCCCCCAACCGCTCGGGGCGCCTCACCTAGGGCAGCCCCCTCACTCTGACATCTCTCCAATTTGTGCATGTATAGGTCCTGTTTGTGCATGTGTGTGTCTTTCGGACCTGTGTGTAATTGACAAGCAAGAGTGAAAACATTGAATTTTCCCTCAGGGGGATTAATAAAGGAAATAAACTTAACTTAAACTTAACTGCTTCAAATATTTCATCTTGTTTCATTTACACATCTTTTAATATTTTTGTGAAAATGACTGAAACTCTTTTGTAAAAGCTCACATTTGTAATGTTACAAATCTTTAAAAAAAATATATATATAATACTGTCATTTTACTTCATACTTACACTTACCTGTTGGCAAAATAGATTAACTCAACTCACTCTAATAACCATATTCCTACATTACACCTATGTCTGCATAAGACCACATATCTATGTACTACTTACCTGAAATGCTTTAATCGGTAAAACATGATTTGTCCAAAAATCAGTCCTAAATAAGGTTAAAAGGTGTCTTGAAAGGGTTTAAAAAGCATTAAATTTAACTGTCTGATACCTTCAGACACCCCATTTACATATTGTAGTCTAATAACCAGAAATCATATGAACTTTGCAACTAGTTATTTCCCAAAGAGTGCTGTTAGTGTTGGAGGTGCAAATTACTTTCAGTTGTCTGCACATTGTTAACATGATTTGTAGAGGTGGGAATAACCAGAGGCCACCTGATGTGACAGTGTCATGGTACTTACATCATGATTCTAGTGATCTGTACTAACAGGGCTAAAATAAGCACTAGTAGGTAAAGTCAAGGAACTCCCCAGTGATCATACATCTAAAGTTTGCTGTATTTGCAGGTGGCAGACTCAACGAGGAGTGGTAACAATCCCCAAGAGTGTGACAGAGTCCCGAATCAAAGAGAACATTCAGGTAGAGTCAAATTTAATTCCAAGCAATTCATTTCCTTTTTTAAGATGGGCTTCTTGATGAGATTTTCTGAGGTTCAGTTTTTGCCTGCAATTACTTAAAAGCTAATTGTGCTGAAAATTCTGTGAAGGTGTGGATTATATTTATTTAACGTTTTGTGTGTTGTCAGGTGTTTGAGTTCACCCTTGAAGCTGAGGAGATGAAGAGTATTACAGCCCTGAACAAAGGCTGGCGCTACATTGTACCAATGATCGAAGTAAGTGGGCTTTATATATTTATATATATATATATATATATGTACACAGTAAAGGCCAAAAGTTTGGACACACCTTCTCATTCAATGCGTTTTCTTTATTTTCATGACTATTTACATTGTAGATTCTCACTGAAGGCATCAAAACTATGAATGAACACATGTGGAGTTATGTACTTAACAAAAAAAGGTGAAATAACTGAAAACATGTTTTATATTCTAGTTTCTTCAAAATAGCCACCCTTTGCTCTGATTACTGCTTTGCACACTCTTGGCATTCTCTCCATGAGCTTCAAGAGGTAGTCACCTGAAATGGTTTTCCAACAGTCTTGAAGGAGTTCCCAGAGGTGTTTAGCACTTGTTGGCCCCTTTGCATTCACTCTGCAGTCCAGCTCACCCCAAACCATCTCAACAGGGTTCAGGTCCGGTGACTGTGGAGGCCAGGTCATCTGCCGCAGCACTCCATCACTCTCCTTCTTGGTCAAATAGCCCTTACACAGCCTGGAGGTGTGTTTGGGGTCATTGTCCTGTTGAAAAATAAATGATCGTCCAACTAAACGCAAACCGGATGGGATGGCATGTCGCTGCAGGATGCTGTGGTAGCCATGCTGGTTCAGTGTGCCTTCAATTTTGAATAAATCCCCAACAGTGTCACCAGCAAAACACCCCCACACCATCACACCTCCTCCTCCATGCTTCACAGTGGGAACCAGGCATGTGGAATCCATCCGTTCACCTTTTCTGCGTCTCACAAAGACACGGCGGTTGGAACCAAAGATCTCAAATTTGGACTCATCAGACCAAAGCACAGATTTCCACTGGTCTAATGTCCATTCCTTGTGTTTCTTGGCCCAAACAAATCTCTTCTGCTTGTTGCCTCTCCTTAGCAGTGGTTTCCTAGCAGCTATTTGACCATGAAGGCCTGATTGGCGCAGTCTCCTCTTAACAGTTGTTCTAGAGATGGGTCTGCTGCTAGAACTCTGTTTGGCATTCATCTGGTCTCTGATCTGAGCTGCTTTTATCTTGCGATTTCTGAGGCTGGTGACTCGGATGAACTTATCCTCAGAAGCAGAGGTGACTCTTGGTCTTCCTTTCCTGGGTCGGTCCTCATGTGTGCCAGTTTAGTTGTAGCGCTTGATGGTTTTTGCGACTCCACTTGGGGACACATTTAAAGTTTTTGCAATTTTCCGGACTGACTGACCTTCATTTCTTAAAGTAATGATGGCCACTCGTTTTTCTTTAGTTAGCTGATTGGTTCTTGCCATAATATGAATTTTAACAGTTGTCCAATAGGGCTGTCGGCTGTGTATTAACCTGACTTCTGCACAACACAACTGATGGTCCCAACCCCATTGATAAAGCAAGAAATTCCACTAATTAACCCTGATAAGGCACACCTGTGAAGTGGAAACCATTTCAGGTGACTACCTCTTGAAGCTCATGGAGAGAATGCCAAGAGTGTGCAAAGCAGTAATCAGAGCAAAGGGTGGCTATTTTGAAGAAACTAGAATATAAAACATGTTTTCAGTTATTTCACCTTTTTTTGTTAAGTACATAACTCCACATGTGTTCATTCATAGTTTTGATGCCTTCAGTGAGAAGGCATCTACAATGTAAATAGTCATGAAAATAAAGAAAACGCATTGAATGAGAAGGTGTGTCCAAACTTTTGGCCTGTACTGGCCAAAATTGCTCCAGTCTACTGAGTGAACTGAGAACCAAATTTAAATGACCAGGATATTGGCAGCGGTTACAACTTAAATGACAAAATATCAGTGTCAGCCCTGAACAACTTACACTGCATGAGCCGTTCTCGAGCAGTTTGGTAAAAAGCAAAAGTGTGTAATGCATAGTTTTCCATAAGTGGACACTGTATGTACTTTTGGAAAACACTGCTAATGATAATGCAGCAGTCTGGCTTTTAAAAACTGTCAGGTAAATGTATTAACTTTGGTCTGGATGTTGCAGGTGGAAGGAAAACGTGTTCCTAGGGATGCAGGACATCCTCACTACCCTTTCAACGACCCCTACTGACAGCTCACACTGCAACCTGAATTTGTGCCTTCAACAACCCCAAAAATGCCACATCACCCCCCCGACATCACTAATAAATGTTCCTGGATCCTGACATTGTTTGTCTTTAGATTATGTCCAATGTTGCACTTATCATTAGAACATTTAAAGTTACTGTTGGTGATGGAGATTGCAAAATCTGGTATGACTGTATACGTACTGTACGTGTTATTTTTTAAATAAACATTTTGTTACTTCACTTGCAGGCATCTTTATTTAAACAGCTGATTATTTAATAAATGTTGAAAAATGTAATATGTCAAATGAATGTATAAATAAATACAGGAATAACTAAACAAATGCTGAAATAAATACATAAATAAATGCTGATGTCAGGAAAACAATCATAAAATAATGTAATTTTTCAAAAATGTAGAAATTTAATACATTTCTTTATGTCCTGTTTAATCATCAACTTTTATTTATTTATATATTTATTTCAACAATTATGTATTATTTATTCTTTTTATTTTAGCATTTCTTTTTATACATATTTTAGCATTTATTTATTTATTCCTGTATTTATTTATACAATTTTTTATTAATACTTAAGTCATTTTCATCCTCTTTAACCTTTTATCTGGCGTGAAATGCAGTGTGTTAAATATTGTAATACAGATGGTGAGGTTTGCTTCCAACATTTTAATTCCTGTATTATGCTGTTCCAAAACTGATGAGTTCCTTTAAATGTTGTCACACTCAGGTACACATCTTGTGAGTTCCTCTGCTAAATTTATAATATCCGAGATATTAATATGTTAAAAATGCCTGTAGTTGTCGACAGATAATTATTCTTTTAGAATTGTGTGTGTCGACATATTTTTAAACACCGATTTTCCTCTTTAAGGATTTATTTAACTTGTGCATTAAAAGAGAAGGACAGAGGCCATCTCATTCGAATCACACACTGACTTTACAAAATGATCCATCTCATAAACAGAGTACACACTGCATGATTTTAACTTTAGGCCCAGACACACCAATCCAGAGACTACAGCCAACGGTCAACTACCATGTACGTTCTCCGATGTCTCTGATTCAGTGTGCCAAAACAGCCGAAAGAGCTGACAAGGGCCGACTAGTGCCAACTGTGGGACACAGCAAAAACTAGGGTGACAGGCGCTCAATGGTGGCCTGATATTGACTGACGGCCAGCTGTCGTCTTGGTGTGTCTGGGCCCTTTGACACAAATTAAAAACTCTATGACACGATAGCACTTTAACAAAAGCATCCACTCTTCATGGCATGTTCTCATCTGATTAACAAGAAATACTGTAATTCCTCTCATAGTAGAAAAATGTAATTTGATTATGTATAAAACTTATTTACTGAGAAAGACATGGCAAATCCCTTCAGTGATCCAGACACTGAGTACCAGTGGTCAGATATGATGGTTGTCTCTCATCTCCTGCAGCACTTCCTCTAAGGCCTCCTCCACTGTCAGTGTGGGACGTCTATGCTTGTGAATGTGCTGTGGAGAGAATGAAGACATATCAGTGAATGCAGGAAAGCTGTGGGCAGTAAATGTCTCATTGTGATGAAAGATAAATATATTGAGAAAATATCAGAGTTCTTTCACAATTTGAATATTCAACCAATTTGAAACAGCGATTAAAGTTATTTCTTTTGTTTTGCCAAGCTTTGCAGAACAAGCAAACAATCAGGATCATCCACAACTTTGTACTCGTACATAACTGTATGTGTAAGTATGCTTTACCTCCTTGGTGTCCTCCAGTGTGGTGTACCTGTAGTTTGGTGGTCTTAGGCTCTGCACCAGGCTGGAGTGAAGGTGTCGGTTGCTGTCGATGAACTGCCTTATCATGGCGAGCTGCTGTTTGAACATTTCGTTGAGGGCGAATGCAGCTGGGTTGAAGGTGCTGAGAGCTGAGGGAGAAACATAAAAACTATATTATAAGCACCATGGCTTCAGCACTCCCAAACGCACATTAACTGGGTTTAACGCAAATGTGGTCTTGTGATGGACCCACTATTAGTACCACCACCAGCTTTTATAACTGATTAGATAAATACTTGAACACAACAGCAAAATATCAAACTTTTAAAGGAACACCTCGACTGTTTTTGTGTGAATTATCGAGTGTTGGAGATATCTGCCTTCTCTCCAATATAATAGAACTAGATGGCAATTGTCTTGTGGTAAATCAGTGGCATCTAGTGGTGAAGGAACAGAACTGCGACTTCTCCCGTGTGCCAAGCATGTACAGTTAGGTCCATAATTATTTGGACAATGATACAGTTGTCGTCATTTTGGCTCTGTACACCACCACAATGGGTTTTAAATGAAACAATGAATACCTGCTTAAAGTGCAGACTCTCAGCTTTCATTTAAGGCTTTTTTCAAAAATGTAGTATGAACCGTGTAGAAATGACAACCATTTCTTCACACAGTCCCCCAACTTTAAGGGCTCATAAGTATTTGGACAAACTAACATAATCATCAGTTAAACAGTCAGTTTTAATACTTGGTTGCAAATCCTTTACAGTCAATGACTGCCTGAAGTGTTGGACACATAGGCATCATCAGATGCTGGGTTTCTTCCCTGGTGATGCTCTGCCAGCCCTTTACTGCAGCCGTCTGCACTTCCTGCTTGTGTTTTGGGTGTTTTGCCCTCAGTTTTGGCTTCAGCAAGAGAAACGCATGCTCAGTTGGATTCAGGTCAGATGATATGACTTGGCCATTGCAGAACATTCCACTTCTTTGCCTTAAAAATGTCTTTGGTTGCTTTTGCAGTATGCTTCAGGTCAATGTCCAACTGCACTGTGAAGCATCGTCCAATGAGTTTTGAAGCATTTGGTTGAATCTGAGCAGATAATGGTGCCCCAAACACTTCAGCTTTCATCCTGCTGCTCTTGTCAGCAGTCACATCATCAATAAATACAAGAGAACTAGTTCCACTGGCAGCCATACATGGCCATGACATAACAGTACCTCCACCATGCTTCACTGATGAGGTGGTGTGCTTTGGATCATGAGCAGTTCCTTCCCTTCCATTTTTAAGGCTAACCAATGGTTTGCATCTTGTGATAAACCCTCTGTATTTATTCTAGTGAAGTCTTGTCTTGTTGACAAGAGCAGCAGGATGAAAGCTGAAGTGTTTGGGGCTACATTATCTGCTCAGATTCAACCAAATGCTTCAAAACTCATTGGATGATGCTTCACAGTGCAGATGGACAATGACCTGAAGCATATTGCAAAAGCAACCAAAGACATTTTTAAGGCAATGAAGTGGAATGTTCTGCAATGGCCAAGTCATATCATCTGACCTGAATCCAACTGAGCATGCGTTTCTCTTGCTGAAGCCAAAACTGAGGGCAAAACACCCAAAACACAAGCAGGAAGTGCAGACGGCTGCAGTAAAGGGCTGGCAGAGCATCACCAGGGAAGAAGCCCAGCATCTGGTGATGTCTATGTGTCCAACACTTCAGGCAGTCATTGACTGTAAAGGATTTGCAACCAAGTATTAAAACTGACTGTTTAACTGATGATTATGTTAGTTTGTCCAAATACTTATGAGCCCTTAAAGTCGGGGGACTGTGTGAAGAAATGGTTGTAATTCCTACACGGTTCATACTACATTTTTGAAAAAAGCCTTAAATGAAAGCTGAGAGTCTGCACTTTAAGCAGGTATTCATTGTTTCATTTAAAACCCATTGTGGTGGTGTACAGAGCCAAAATGACGACAACTGTATCATTGTCCAAATAATTATGGACCTAACTGTATATCACCTGCCTTGATTACTGTAAAGCTACACATCATCTCTTAATTGTTCGAATTTAACAACGAAACAATCTTCACACATCACACCTATTTTGGCTTCCCTGCATTAGCTTCCTGTCTCTTTTAGAATCCATTTTAAGCGCTTTTAATGACATACAAGGCTCTCAATGATCTGGCACCGGAGTATATAACCGAGCTTCTCATGCAGTACTGTCCAAACAGGCCCATCAGGTCTGCTAGTCTGGGTCATCTACCTGTTCCAGAGTCCAGGGTAAAAACAAAAGGTGATCGAGCCTTTTTGGTTCTGGCTCCTCAGCTTTGGAAGAGCCTCCCACTGAGCTCTACTGACTCAGCTGACTCTGTTCACGTCTTTAAATCTCGTCTCAAAACCTACTTTTACAGATTAATGTTGTCTGACAGTTGATAGATAGGTGATGATAGTTGATAGTAAAGACACTTTCACAAAGTGCTGTTCCATGTTATCTTTAATTCCCTTCCATTCATTCGGTTGTACAGGTAAAGTATTTGGACAAGCTCCCCAAAACTAGTCTATATCATTAATCTATTTCTTGAGGTTTTTTTTTTTTTTACTTTGTTTATCAAGTTTTTGAAGGCATACTCTGAATCAACTCAAAGTAATCCTACAAACTTCAACAGCATTTCACGTGTAGATGGAGCAACAACACTATTTAAAAGGAGTGTGACTCACTTGAAATTCTGCATCACCCTTGTACAAACTCTGTCACTCTCCATTATAGTGACCATCTGGATTAAAGTCCAGGTGTACTGATGTTGTATTGTGTCCTGTTTAATTACCTTCCACCTTTTCTGCACTGAGAGTGTGAGCGACCATCGGGGTGGGATCCATGTAAGTCATGCCCACTGCAGGACCCAAAGTAGCCATACCTACAGGGGGCAAACAGAAACACTGCAGCTCAGTATGCAACACCTCTGCTGTCAAATTAATCCTGATAACTTGATGAATGCTGTGAAGAAATAATATGGTGGTGGTGATGATTAGTTGCCCTACCACATCTGAAGTGGGGCTGTGTGAGGTACTGATCTATAGTTCATGTAATGATAGTCTTGTGTAGCCAGATCTATCTCCACAGCACTGCGTCAGTGCTAGAGAAAACTCTGGAATCACTGATTATCTTACTGCTATTGGGGGAAAATGCTGACTTGTTTTTTTTCTTGAACCCATCACAGTCGTTTGGCAGAGGTGAACTTGTTTTGGCGGATCACATGGGGAAACGGCCCTCGAGACGAACCCTGACTATACTCTAACTCAGGAGGAGCCCACTGGACCCGTTAAAAGCACAGATGATATGCTGGCTGTATGTCGCTCTAGCAGAACAGAATTACGACAATGTCACAGAAGCTCATGCGAAGTAAAACGGATCGGTACATTGGCGGAGTCATGGTCACTGGTGCGTGCTGCTGCCAGAGTTAAAAGATGTGGCAAATCAACTCCAACTGGCCATGTCAGAAAATGGATCAACACTGGGCACAAGAGTCCTGTGAGACGCAGTCTGGGCTTTTCCCAGGTGCGTTCACAAGTTGTTATATTCATGGTAGATCCTCTCCACATTGCGACATGCCGACTGACATCTATTGAAGTTAATACACTGACTATGGATAAGAACCTCCGACAACCCCACTTCAAAAAAGTTTAACTATGCCTTTATACACACAAATGCCATGTATGTCAGACTAACCTGTGGGCTGTGTGTAAGCCAGTGGATCAGGCTGCGTCTGTACCGCTGCCTCTTTTAAAACCTTCCTAGTTGAAGCACACCTCCTTGACTGGCGAGAGGTCCTGCTGTCATTTGACACATATGATCTGGAGTCCCTGCTTCTGCTGGCTGTTTGACTGCGATCCGACGTCCGTGAGGTGCAGGAGCGACTTGTGTCTGAGAAAGTACTTGAGTAATCGTCTTTTGTCCTTCGACTGCGGGACGCGTCTGAATCCAAATCCTCCTCTCTGACCTCTGACACCACCTCCTCTTCATCTCCCTCTCCCTGCAAGTGCTCTGACACCTGGCTGGCACTGTAATCTGGCTCTGTCCTGCTCTCACTCTCAAAGTCACTTTGGTAGTCCAACGAGTCCTCATCCTGCTGCTGCAGCTGTGGCTCCTCTTTCTGCTTTATCTTCTTTAAACCTAGCCCCTGGCGATGTTTGTTAGGGGATCCAGGAAGAGGGGCACTGGGTTTTGCTTCTTTCCGTTTAGGCAGCTGGAAGTAAGCAAACACATCAGCATAAGGAGTCCTTCGGAGGCAAACACATTTCAGGTACGGAAATTTTACTTTCTTTAAGCCCTTGAGTGAATACTGGATATAAATTTGTTAGGCTGACACAAACACGACTCCAACTGAATGCTAACTTTGCTCCGTGTCTGCTGGATGTGTAATTAAGCAACTGTGTGATTTGCTATGTCAACTTAAAGGGTAATAGTATTTCAATGTTGCTTTTACAGCTTGTTTTTACTGCCCTCAAGTGGCCAAAAACAGGCAATGCAGGTTTTAAATTAATCAGGTTTTGACTGTTTGAGTTGCTCTCTCTAGTGTGCAAGATTTTTTCATAATGGTTAGAAATAATAGAGAAAATTTCATAACATTTTCCTTTAAAGAAAGGAGTAGTGTGTCAGATTTGGTGACATCTAACAGTGAGAACTGCAGATTGTAACCACCTGAAACTTCTCTTAGTTAGAATACCTTCAATGTTCATGAACTTTTTTATCAGGAGCCGAATTATCCGCAGACATTTCTTCCTCAAAAAGCACAGACTCAGTGATTTAAGTGTGTTTGATTTGTCCATTTTGGGCCACCATAGAAATATGGTGGTGCAGCATGGCACACTCCGTATACAAAGAACTGCTGTAGGTATACACGACTCAATTTAAGTTTACAAAAGCACAATAATTCTTATTTTCAGGTGATTTTACACTAAAGAAAACAATTCACACCTCCTTTCCTGGAGTTTCCTCAGTAAATCCAAGAGTAGCAGGAACAAAGTCGTCTAATGTCATCACATTTATCTTGAAGTCTGGAACAGATCATATCACAGTTTTATAAATGATAGCGTATATCCTCAGAACTTTCAACACATTATCTAATGCAGAACTTCTATTCATGTATATCAAAAATACATTAAAAGCACCTGGTGACCAAACACTAGATAATCTGCTGTTTTAAAATCCTATGACATCCTGGACAGGTGACACCCTGCACAGCAGCTACAGTAATTCTGTATAAATTCTGGTTCTGCTGAGGGATGATTTGTGTACCTTGTTGTCCATCTAGGATGCATGAGATAAGGAGCGAAAAATAAAACATGATTAATGAACAAAAACAACATGGTTTTTCCCTGTTTTGCAAAATGATCGGCTGGGTATTTTGACCTCAGTGAATCATTAAAACATTTAGACAAACGTCTCTCACCTTCAGAGCTCACTGAACTCATCTCACTGTGGGGATCTTCAAAACCAGGCCCAACTGAGAAGAGCTCCTCCAGAGAATGCACCTCACTGCGGCCTGACATGGAGGAGAGTGAACGCTGTGGACTCCCCACCCTGTGATGAGGGGAGTTCAGCCTCTGTGGAGGAGATGGGGAGGCACGGGGAGGAGACGAGGCTGGGGAGAGCACAGAGGGGCTGAAGTGGGCCTGAGCCTGACCGGTGTATCGAAAAGGAGAGCCACGGAGAGAAGGGGAGGCAGGGGAGCGAGGAGGTGCTGTGTTGGAGGATGAGGGAAGGACAGCAGTGGGCGGAGGTGAGGAGTGGACCCTGTGACTGCTTCTGCTCAACATCTGGAAGAAAGGAAAGTTTTGAACTGACAAAAAAACTGCTTCAACTTATTTTTCTACATTAGAAATCGTTTGGAAAAAAAAAAAAAAACATTTTTACATCTTTACCGTGCTGAAAATAAAGGGAGTGAAAGCAAAGCAAAAACAGCCTCGTACCTTGTCTGCTGCTCTGGTGGAGGAGGGTCTCTCTGGTATGAAGAAGCTGTTGTCTGATGAATCCATTGAGTCTCTAAGCAGTTTCCTCATATCCTCTTCATCACTTTCCAGACTCACTCCTCTCACTCCTCTCACTGACCTCTTCTCCAAACCAGCTGAAGGACCTATGACATGAGCAGCTCTGGACCTGGACCTGGACCTGGCACTAACATCTCTGCCTTCTAGAGACATATTACTATTGTTACCAGCTGTGTCTGTCTTGCTCTTGAGGAAACGTATTCCCCTCAGGCTCTGGTCACTGCTGGACTGCGCTGAGAGTTGCACAGGAGCCTCCAGGGACTGGGCCACTGGTGGTGGTGAGATTCCAAAGTCAGAGTTTAGATTCTCAGCAGATTTTGGCTCCTGAACCTGCTTGCGGCTGCGGATGCGGCTCTCAATTTGAGCCAGTCTACTCAGAGCAGCAGTCTGGGAGCTTCGCTGGGAAGATGTCACATATCTGAGCAGAGGGATGAATAAAGAGAGTAACACAAGAATTAAGTTTCAGCAGCAGAGGTGGACATATGTCTGGACATATTTTGAGTTAAATCAGTGGATCTGGTGGTAGAAAAGGTTTTTTCCCCCCAATCTAGTGCTCAATATAACATTTTTTTAATCTTACACAAACAGAACCGTATCTGGGTTCAGGCACCTGCCATGACAAGCTTAAGGAGAACATCTGTGTTGTTTGCAGTTCTCTCCCAGAACTTGAGTCATCAGGAAAGTCCCTCTACATGTTTCCATCACCCTGGCCTTGGCATTGTTCCTATATTATCCAACATATGCAATGTTTTTCCCTCACCAATCTAGACTACAAAAATCAATAGAGGAGCAACAGAAAACTTCGAGAAGATGTAGCTCTGAAAAGCGTGTCATGTGTGTTATATCAAGACAATACAGAGCTTTGGGACATATGGATGACCCCCTGCAGATGCAACAGTATCAGCCTGAATGCACCATCTTGCCACCTGTCCTTGTTTAAGAATGTTGCCTCTACACAGACAAACATACTCTCCCTAAATTACAATATGACATTTATTTATCTCACATACACAGAGCTGTACCTGGGTTCAGGGTCCTGCTGCATTTGGCCCCTCCTGACAGGCGACTGGCTGCTGTTAGCTGCAGGTGGTGGTGCTTTCTTTAAGAATCTGCTCCCTCCTCCACCCAGCGAGCTCTGAGGTCTGAGGTCCTGGAAGAGGAAAGCAAAAAGTGGAGGCCTGTTGTCATATTGGACTCCAAGTGTGGGAGTTTCAGTGCTAAATTTTCATTGCATTTATGTCCTGAGCAATACCCTCCTGAATCCTGAGAGAAAAAAGGTTTAAATTTTTTCGCCACCATCATTTAAGAACTTGGGATGTAAGAAACATATCGTGTGAGTGTACAAGGTAAAAAACCTATCCCTGACTCGTCCTCAGTAATCTAACAAAACTTTTTCTGCATTACTCTGTGCTCTGTTTCCTGAAGCATGGGAAATGGTTGACAAAGAGTAGAAGCAAGTCTTGAAAATAACATATACTTATAGCATCTTAACATTATATAGTTAAGACTCTCACAAACCAAAAAAAAACATCCTTGAGAAGACTAGAAATTATAAACTTGATCACTTAGCTCCTTATCTTATAATAAAACCTGTGCTGCAATTAACCCCATTTTGGAAAGACAGAGGATGTGCTCTGTTAGTTGCACCCCCACATATGTTACATCACTAAGAGGATGTGCTTTTCACAGTACATTCTGAATACATTTTCTCTTTACTTTTCGTAGGTACTGCAGCTGCACTTTGACCTTCTTGTCCTTGTATGTTACCTTGGAGATCCAACAAAACGCCATTTGTCTGGAGAGCTCTGCTGTTGTTACTTAGCAATCTATGTCATTTAAACTTTTAAGTTAGAACTGCACACATTGCAGATTCCAACAGATTATATTCACGGCAGTAAAATAACATAAGCTGTGCACTCTCTGGCATTGTTACCTAAGCGTTATGTCCTTTTGATGTTGGTAATCTTTATAATTATTTTATTCACTTAAACATTTAATATCCCTGTTATTACTATTTGACAGGTCAATAGTCACTTTAATGTGCTGCCTTTCATCTTTTCGCGGATGAAGTAGAACATCATGGTATTTTGGGCATACTAAATCTTTGTCTGTCATACTAAATAGTATGGTAATATGGGTATTGAAAGGCACAGTAGGGCCTAAATGGACTGCATGCATGCTGTCTGAAATAAAGGCTGGCTGCAGTGTCATGTGCCCTACAGAGGACAAATATGAATTGCTGGGTCTCAGGAGGGAATTGTTTACCTTGGTAGAATCTCCCTCTCTCCCCTGAGTCTTTGCAGCAGCAGGAGTGGCAGAGCCCAGGAGGTCAGCAGCTCCATGCCCAGGCGCTGAGCTCACCGAGGACAGGTCACTCAGATCTGACAATAACAAGTGTGGATCTGGGAAAGCAGGTCTGGTTTTCACAGACCCACCAACAGCACCCTGAGAAGAAAGAGAGGAGAGAGTTTCTGGTGTTAAAACATCACAGAATAACACCGCAGTTCACTGAGACATTGTTAAAGTTTCCCACTCACTGTGTGTCCCCGTGTTTTGGCTGTGGACTCCTGCTCAGACTCAGCGTCTCCTCTGCTGCTCCTCTTGGCGGACAGCAGCGCCTGGGCTCGGTCCAGAGCGGAGCTTCGACCGCCGCCTCGTTTCCACATCTTTAAGCTGACTCTTCCTACCTGCCTGGTTAACTATGACTTAATACACTTCCATATATATACTGGTACATGTTTACATGTCATTTTAACGGCAGCTAACACAATCCTGGGCTGTTTCATCCTGTGTTGGAGACAGCAGCGTCAGCTAGCTAAAGGCTAAAACCATGTTTGCTAGCTAACTACAAACGATGCACTTCGAAATTAAAGTGCTCAATAGATATATTTCGACACTCTTCATAGCCTAATACAGTTTCACATAAGTTAGGCGACATAAAACGGCCACATGTTGCCAACTTCCAGCCCTTCAGTGCTTAATTTCTGCATAGTAACCGCCCGGGCGTCCCTTGTCTCCATGGACCAACTGTTGATGCTGCTTCTTCTTCGTCTTCTTAAATGTCAGTTGCTCATCCAGGTATCAGCGCCACCAAGTGTTCATCACGCGAACTGCTCATAAACTGGTTCATACGAGGAGCTGTTTGAATATATATATACTCCATATATTCATACGAGGAGCTGTTTGAATATATGGAGTATATTTTCAGAAGTATAGAAACACGTATGCGGGTGTTTCCTGTTATGCAACAACATTTATGTCCACATTAAATCTTCCTCATATTTTCTTTAAAATTTTGTCGAATAGTTATGACAAATGGTTCAAACTGCAGGTCTTCTTTATCACATCAACACAAAGTAATGCACATCAAAAATATATTCTTATTTTATTTTTCTTTACTTTACTGACAAGTCCAAAGTCAAGTCTCAAGTCCTCAACTTTGACTCCCTACTTCAAAATGGGAGGCTACACATTGGACAGGTCACCAGACAATCGAGACAGACAACCATTCCCCTCAATTCTGGAACATGTTGTCGCCTCCCAAATCAAGACCCACCTCCGCTCTCATGAACTTTATGAACCATTTCAAAATCACTAACAACCTCCTCCTCTGTGCCGACTCTGGCCACCTCAGCATATTCATCCTCCTTGACCTCATTACTGCCTTTGACACCATCAACCACACCACTCTGCTATCCCGCCTACAAACTTCCTTCAACATCACTGGCTCTGCTCTCTCCTGGCTCAAATCATACCTCACTGACAGACATCAGTTTATCCATGTCAACAACTGCACGTCCTCCACCGTCCCCCTGCTTCAAGGTGTCCCTCAGGGCTCGGTGCTTGGTCCTCTCCTCTTCATCATCTACTTACTCCCCCTTGGTTCTATCATTCTTTGTCATCGTCTCCATTTCCACTGCTACGCTGACGACATCCAAATCTACAGCTCCACAAAATCCATCACCCCGGCCACCCGCTCTACCCTCACCAACTGTCTGACTGAACTCCAATCATGGCTGTAAACCAACTTCCTCAAACTGAACTGTGACAAATCTGAAATAATACTCATCGGCCCAAAATCCCTCTCTACATCAACACAAAACTTCACCCTCAGCATCAACAACACCACCCTCTCTCCCTCCCCATTCATACGCAATCTTGGTATCATCTTTGACAATAACCTCTCATTTGAACATCACATCAGCCACCTCACCCAAACTGCCTTCTTTCACCTCAGACATATTGCCCGTCTCCGTCCATTACTCTCCTTCTCTGCCGCTGAAACTCTCATCCATGCTTTCATCACCTCAAGACTCGACTACTACAACAGTATCCTCTACGGCTCATCATCCAAAGTCCTCAACAAACTCCAGTACATCCAGAACTCTGCTGCCCGCCTCCTCACCCACACCCGCTCCTGTGAACATATAACCCCTGTCCTGCAAAACCTACACTGGCTCCCTGTCCCGTACAGAATCAACTTCTTCCTCCTCACCCACAAAGCCCTCCACAGCCAGGCCCCCTCCTACCTCACGGACATGCTCCACCACCACACTCTTTGATCATCCGACAAAAACCTACTCTCGCCTCCACACAGGACCAAGCACTGAACCTGGGGCGACAGAGCCTTCTCCATAGCCGCCCCCTCCCTCTGGAACACCCTCCCTATACAGATCCGTGACTGTCCAAATCCATCCACCTTCAAATCACTCCTTAAAATCCACCTTTTCAAATCCGCTTTTAACCTGTAAACATTAGCTTTTCATTCTCTGATTCTCATGTAGCCTACCCCCCTTTTTTCTTTTTTCTGTTTTGCTCTATGCTTTTGCACCTTGTTGTTGTGTATCATCCTTGTCTTCTGTTTATCTCTTCGCACTTATATGTATGTACTTCTTTTCTTGTTTAAATGTAAAACGTCTTTGAGAGCTGTAAGAGCGCTATATAAATAAAATGTATTATTATTTATTATTCACACTCACATTCACACCTACGGCCAATTTAGATTCACCAATTAACCTGCATGTCTTTGGACTGTGGGAGGAAGCTGGAGTACCCCGAGAAAATTTTTTTTTTACCTAACTATAAGATCACCTAACTTTATCATTCTCATGGGTTCGTCTTTCTCCCCAGGTTACGAGTTTCTTTCTATTTTCAATCCCATCATCTCTGACTGTGCTAAAGCATTAAAACCAGACATTCCCCGACAGGAGACCATCTAGTGCTGTCTGCATCCTGCAGAGCCAGCCAGCTCGTTCGCAAAATCAGTGTCTGAGTGCTCTGTGTCTGCACAAATACGTTTTATAAATGACCTTGTTTTAGCTGTACTCTGCCATCAACAAGCAAAAGGAGACTGCGTCTGCTCTTTGCAGTTCTCTTACAGAGTTTGAATCATCAGGCAGTCCGCTCATGAAGTTTACATCACCCTGTCCTTGGCATTGTTCCTATTTCATCTCAGTATATGTTGCTCTTGTCTCTTCTCTCGCCTAAACATCTCTGCATGTACCTTGTCAACATTATCAGCCTGTTTGCACCATCACCGCCTGTCCTTGTATCGGACTGTTGTCTCTACTCCCTAAATTACATTATGTTACCAGCGAGGACACTCACGTCACTTCCTCAATATTTTTGGGGTCAATTTGGATTTCAGCAACCTTGGCGTGTTCTAGCTAGTGCTAATTACAAAGATGTATAATGATACCTAGGTACCGGATCCTGAGGTGGCGCCTGTTCATTCTAATGCAGTTGTTTACCAGGCGCATAGACCACAAAAAAGTTCTCTAGCCTTGGGGTTTACTTTTGTGGTATGTGACATGTTTTTTTTGCCCGTCTTGTGAAAACAGAAAAGGCACTACTTACAGGTCAAGTGTTCATACACCTTAAATCCTGTCTGGATGGGAGCTAAGCTCTTATGTGTCTATGAGATCACACTTTTGATTCGCTAATGCATCATCCATTTTATGCTTGTACATTTTTAGTTACCTTTTGAGCCGCACCAATTATACGCTCACCCTGTTGTACCTTTCATAGCTAATGTTTCCAAATGCAGGAAAATTTGTTTGCAGAGACACAGAGAGCAAAAAGAGACACATTACATTTATTCAACCCCACATAAGACCTCTTGGATAAATAAAAGCAGTAACAGCAGTTATGGGAGGATGTTTTCTCAATATTTTTAGAGTCATCATGACTCCACAGTCTTGTCAACACCGTAATTAGTCCCCTTCCCACAATTACTTTGAAGTTATCTCCATTAAATGAGAAAATAAGTTAGATTAAGTTGCTCTTTTTTGTTTATGGAAACTTGTTATTGTGGTTTTTGCATTGTTTTTTTGTAAGCTGTAATTCAAGGGTCATGTTAAGCATGGTAAAATAACTGTTTTTGTCAGTGGAGCCTGGCTTTGGGGAGGGCAGAGATCAGTATTACTTTCTGTCCAATTCTGTTCACCTCCCAAGCTGAAAAATAAGGCCAATGCAGTAGTACAAAAAACTGCAGTTTGTTGGATGACCACTTGAGACTGGCTCAAAAACAGAGTAAATCCCCACAGACCCTAACCTGGAAATCCAGATGCCCCGCCCCTAGCAAATTCGAATTTGCTTTGCATGGGAATCTTGCCCCGACGAGCAGAGCCCACTGAATCGCCAATCGGACCAAACAGATCAGTCTATCTGACAGAGGCGGGGTCTGGGCGGGCGTAACATGATGATGACAGTACTGCACCATAGGAGTCGACCCTCGGGTAGGAAGGGTGTATCGGTGAAGGCCAGATTCAAAATCTTTCTAGATGTGAGTCTGGATTTCCAGGCTACACAGACCACCGATCAAGTACAAACTGAAGATGGACTCACTAAGCAGACTCACAGACTCAGATGAAAGTTCAGGGCTTTTAATCAGGCTCAGGTCTGTACACAGGTAGTCAGTCACACAGGAAAAAGTATCCAAAAACGACAGGCAAAAAGGGAGGTCACACGCAAAAACGGTCACAAACACACACACAGGGAACACTAGGGAAACGCTCGAACTCTCACTCAACTGTAAAGACGATCTGGCAACAAACAAGGGGGAGACAGGGACCTAAATAAACTCAGACAAGGGAGACAATGAGACACAGGTGAAACACACCAGCCCCTTTTACACTGCCAGATTTTCGGCAATTGATGGGCCGTTTTGCAGGCAACCTGCGAGTGTTTAGACACACAGAGCCAGACTGGCGAGTTGATCTTCTGTAGTCTCTTACACAGACGCCGGTGACGTCAGCATGCTGGCTGACTCTGTTGTCTGTGGACATTCCCATAAGGAAAGTTGTAATAAAACTAGCACTGGCTCCCAGTGGCAGTGATGTGATTGGATCCAAATCCGTGTACTTCCGTACTTCCTCAACCAACGGCTAATTAGCTTTGCCTTACACCCGCCTACACCGAAACTGCTGTTCCCCGAATTGTTGTCCGTAGTGCAACAAAAAAGGAAGTGTTCAGTGCATCGCAAGAAGAGATTAAATGAATATTATTTCATTTGATTCAGCTATATTGCAGAGCTGCAATGTCTCTGTGACATGTAACATACGTGCCGTACCTATGGCAACGCCGTCACATGGTCTGGATATCCCCGCCCATTTCTATTACAAAATGAAAGACGAATGTCCCCAGACTCCCATTCCGAAGTAAGGGAGGCTGGTCACGCGAGACTAGTAAGTAGGGAAACTTGACAGGACATGGGATCTGAGACGAAACGACACAATGGTAACCAAAATAAAACAGGAAACACAGGGATGACAAATGAACACAAATCTAGGCCTAAAGTTGCTTAATTGAGTGAGAGGTTGTCTGCAAGGCTTCGCCAGTCTGTGAGTCAGATCCACCCCTCACTTCCCACAGCTTCAGTGTCTCGTCCAAATACGGTCACTTCTGGTTTAAAAAAAAACAAGATGACCAAAATGCCAAATTTGAGGCTTGAAAATAGCAGTCCTCAAACCAGTGGGTGATGTCAGAGTAGCTATGTCCATTATTTATACATAGCTGGAAATTCTGCCAATGTCTTAACAAAAACACCCCTTTCAGTGGAGCAATCATGGCTAGAAATGCTTTGATGTCTCACTGAAAACAAACAGTTTGTTGTCTGTTGGTCTTGAACAGTGGTCTGCAACTTGGCAGCTGTCTCGCCAAGGTTTCACGCCATCCACCACCCCTCCACCTTCTGATGACAAAGTCAGGCCATGTACTATGTCACTTTAGAAACACTGATAGGATAGATATGAAACATACAAATGGAGAGCATCCGTGGTTTGCCGAAACGTACAATGCTAACATTTTCTCCTGGCGACCGGACTCGTGATATATGTGATATTTCATGTGGAATTTGTACTTGTAGCTCACTAATTTTACAATGTACAATACATAAAGGATCAAAATACTTCTTTCACAAGTGGTTTAATAGATTGAAAATGAAATTGTTCCCAATTATTATGGTCTTAACAGAAACCGTATGTTGGTCTTTTTGGCTCCACTGCCTCCCACATACTCCAGATTCTTGGAATCACATTCTCTTTTTCAGTAATTAAGATACGTTACCCACTTTTGACAGTGTCTAACCTTCATTGCAGTTAACTATCTGACAGCCTAAAGATCAAAACACATCAGCCTGAGCCGCTGCACACTGCTCAAAACAACAGAAGAAATAAGAATCACTGGGTATCATATTTAAATGTACGTTCATTTTCTCCTACAACGTAAAAAGTGTTCATTTTGAAACTAAAGAAAATTGTGAACTTGAGTTGTTGGATTTTTCCATATGATGTTCGAAAAACATCACACAACAGAGAATAAATAATCTGACTTTGGTGCTTGGACTCATAAAAAATGCATTACATGAAGTCAGAGGAAAATGTAATCTATAGATAGTGCTGAAGGTGTGGCGAGATCAAAGTGAAGCATCAAAGTAAGAAGCAACACACAGGCATGTGTAGTTCATAGCCTTTAATAATTACTCTGGAAAATACACATTTATCAGTCTGAGGCACTTGAGCTGCCACTTATCTTGCTATAAACACACTGACAGTAAACAGAACTAGCTGTGCTAATGGAGTCTTTAATGTGCTGATGAAGTCATCTGACTGACATTACGTCTTTGTTCTTAAAATGAAGTGAGCAGTCATTGCACAACATGAGAATCTGCAGCTACAACATGAAGCTCCGGTTTCTTCTTCAGCCCCATCAAAGCAAAACACAAACTGTTCCAGCGTGTGACCATCGAGGTGATATAAGAGCCATGATGAGTAAACTGACCTCTGTGTGTAGTGGCTCTGTCAGAGAGATGTTTGCAATGTGGGGGTAGTAGAATAGTTTTCTTTTCATCTCTCATAATGGTTTTTGTTTCTCAATTAACACTTCAATAAAACATTTTTTATTACAAAACATCAATAATAATACTAATAATAATAACCCTTTTTTTAATATAGCACCCTTAAAAACAGAGTTTACAATGCGCTTTAAAAGAAAACAACCCAATTGCCAGTGTTGCCATTGTTCATTTCTTTAAACCACGGATACGCTGAATATGCTTTAATATGTAGCGGATATGTTGACACTTTGCTTCAGCAACGCTGTGGTTCAGGAGTGGTTAGGTTTAGGCACAAAAACAGTAGGTTATGGTTTTGAAAAAATTTGATATATGTATGAAATATACAAATCATACATACCCGTGGTTTGCAGAGACATACAATGCCAACGCCATTTCCCTTTGGCGACTGGGCTACGGACAAACCAAAAGCAGGAAAACACAAAGACAATAAAACAACAGAAAGCCAAACAATAGGGCCAAACAAAAGACAAAATTATTTACAAATAAATAAAAATAATTACAGTTACCACTTTGCTGCTGTGAGCTTCTGTGAACAGTGTGATTTCAGTTACAGTTTACATCCATGTCTGTGAAAACATGGATGCTTCACACTAATCTGCCCCCCAGCAGCACAGAAGATCTTCACAGTCAGCACAGTTTGAGGATTAGTGTCACCAATTCAGTATCTGACCAAATGTCTCCCCTTCTGTTCCTGAGATATGACACTGAGTAATGGCCAGAAATGTGTTTTTGCAGAACAGTATGATGTCACAGTGAAGCGATTAGACATTTGTTTAAAACTGTATCATAATTAATATATGAATTATTGAGTTATGGCCAAAAACATGTTTTGTGAGGTCCCAGTGACCTTGACCTTTGACCACAAAATTCTAATCAGTTTATTTTCGAGTCCAAGTGGACTTTTGTGCCAAATTTGAAGAAATTTTCTCAAGGTGTTCTTGAGAATGAGACAGATGCAAGGTCACAGTGACCTTAACCTTTGACCCCCAAAATAGCATCAGTTCATCAATGAGTTTAAGTAAACGTTTGTGCCAAATTTGAAAAAATTCCCTCGAGGTGTTCTTGAGATATCAGGATCACAAGAACGAGACAAACAAGATCACAGTGACCCTGACCTTTAACATATAACCACCAAAACATAATCAGATCATTCTTGAGTCCAAGTGAACATTTGTGCCCAAATTGAAGACATTCCCTTGTGGCGTTCTTGAGATATTGCGTTCACAAGAATGGGATGTGCATACAGATGGACAGACAACCCAGAACATAATGCTTCTGGCTGCAGCTATTGTCGGCAAAGAGGCATTAAAATAAAAGCAATAAGACACTGACGATAAAAAGACAACATCACATAAAAGCAAGTATAAAAAATTAGGTTTCAAGAACTGATTGAAAAGAAGTCTCTAATTCTGCAAACCTTATCTCCTCAAAAGCACAGTCACCTTTAGATTTAAAGAGGAGCTATCATGCTCATTCTCAGGTTCATAGTTATTTTAGTAGAAATCCAGAATACACATTTACATGCTTTAAGGGTCAAAAAACATTTTATTTTCCTCATACAGTCTGTGCTTGAACACCTGTATTCACCCTCTGTCTGAAACGCCCCATTTTAGCACCTGTCTGTTTAAGTTCCCCTCACAAAAAGACCAGACTGCTCTGATTGGTCAGTGTCTCCAGGTCTTCCACTCTGCAACCGGGGAATGACTGACAGAGAATAGCCACTTTCTGCTGTGAAATATCACCAATAAAAGCTTTGAAACTGTGGGCACTTTGCACCTGCCATAAACGCCATCTTCTCAGCTCACTCAGTAGTTTTTTACTAACCCCACCTCTTCACTTGTCCACAGATCTCCCACTCCTGCTGGTCCACCACAACCGTCTCATCAAGCTAATGCCCCTGACCTGTGGATCATTACCTCCTGCCAGTACAAAGACTCCCGCTTCACAGAGTCTCCTTGCCAGATTGTTCTTTGTCATTCATATCAAGACTTTCCAGAGTTTCCTCCCAGACTGCTTCCTTGTTATCGACCTCGTCTGTCTGACTCTCCTGCTTCATCTACTCTCTGGTAAACCACTCAGCCCTCTGTCCCAGATCAAGAGCTCTGCTTTTGCCTTACTGGCCTGTTCCCTGATTGTCACCCAGCTCTCCATAGTGAGTTTACCTGTTCATCCACCTGTGGACTTTTGTGTTGTGGACCACCTTTGCGTATGCGTTGTAGACTCCACTCATTGCCACTGACGGGTATTTTCCTGCCGACAGCTGGCTTCACATTGGTGTGGCAGCTTCTCCTGTGAGTACCCCTGGTTTTGGATTTCCTTTTCATCCAACATCGTCTCCCGTCTGCTCCCTCACAGTCCCACTGCACACGTTGGAACTGTTTGCTGTTAGCGTGCTTTCAGCAGACCCCACTGACTCACCTGCTCTCGGCTTCAGCGTGTCACACCAAGTGCACCCGTGTCTTGGAAGGCTCAACACGACACAGACTCAAACTGTTGTTTCACCTGCTCACTCTGTGTTTGACAAGTGGTTTCATCAAAGCCTATTACAAAACGTCCTTCTGTTCAATTGGGTTCTTATCATACCCGTGACAACCAGACAACCATGTTCTGGCAGGAATATGATCTGAAATCAAGGAGAAATTAACAACATGAGCAACCAAGTTTCCCTGATGTTAGCATGTAGCTACATGTAGCAATGTATGTTATGTAAACACTTGCAGTGGTGTGCCTGGAGCAGATGACCATATAAAGAAACCATGTGGACCAATGTTGAACAATATTCAGAATGGTTTGAATCCTGAGGTTTTTGCTCACAGGGGTTTCTTTTAAATACGTTTACAATTTGAAACTTTGGCTATGTTTAACAAGAACATCTGACATTGTAAAATTACATTTAAAACAATTCTGCTATAAAGTGATCAATGGAGAGAAGCCAGGATTGGGGTGATGTGATGTTGTCTTTTAAAAACAGTAAGAAGCCTACAATAGCTGCTGCATTCTGACCTTGTTGAAGGAGACACACTGTAAAAGTTCGGAGCCAGCACATTAAACAAGAAGAGACCAAAACAGGCACAGATAAATGGAGAACACAGCACAGTTTAGGCACAGACTCTCCACAAAGTTGTTGTCTCTCAGGTTTAACAGAAACATGTCTTGAGTCCATAATGTCAAACAGTTAATCATCATTCAGAGAGTGCTTTGAGGTCATTTCTCAAAGGATCTACTTTTGAAAACGAGTGATGAATTCTGCATGTTGTTTTCAGCCCTTCAGACACATAAAATGCATGACCATTAAGTCTTAACAACCTCTGGACTTGAGGGACATTTCAAAGGAAATGAGCTCTAATAAATGTATCACAACTCAGGTCAGGTCTCATCCATCCAAAGCCAATTAAAACCATGAAATGATCTGTTTGCAAATAGTCAGTAAACATCCTTCTTTAAGGACTTATGATTCATCACCATAAAAATATTTGTTTGTTGATACACAAACAAAAAGTCAAAAGGTCCACCAGTCTATGAAGGACCCTCGACGTTGATAGATGTCACAGTAGCCATGAAACAACGCTGGAAAAGGCGGTCAGGATCTGGGGGCTGGTTGTCACAGTCCAGCTTGCCCCTCAGGAAGTGCTTCCTGAGGCCTTGAGGACCAGCGGGGGCGCTGCTGTGACTCGGTTCTGCTCCCTGTGGACTTGATGCAGAACCTGGAAGACACAACAGTCACTTAGACACTTGCATATGAAGAGCTTGACAGACCACACAGACACGATCAAAAAAATTAACATGTTTTATTTTAATAATTCAAGGCATTTGGCTCTATTAGTTGTTACCACCTCAACTTAACAGACCAATAACACTGATAAAGATTTAAGTTGTCCAGCCTCAACAGCTGAAGCAGGAGATTGACAGAGATGTCACGCAAGCTTTAAATGTTTACACAGTCCTGAGGAGACGTCTAATCTGACAGCTTGAGTGACAATACATCTGTCGGTGTCTCAGGGGTGTGCAAAGCTTTTAAAAGGTCAGTGTGTAGGATTTAGGGAGTTATCTTGGCAGAAAATACAAATCATTGTATCTTCGTTACCTTATAATGAGCTGTTTATATCTACATAAGGAGCGGGTCCTCGTCCAAGAAGATTGCAATATTGCATTGCCAAGTTTCTACAGTAGCCTGGAACGGACAAACTGAACACTGGCTTTAGATAGGACCACTTGTGTTTTTGCATCGGCCACCACAGTAGGCAGCCTCTCCACAATTATCAGTCTCAGAAAAACACAGATTTTCTTTTTTTTTTTAACCAGTTTTAATCACCTGGCCCGTTTGTTTTGGAGACTGCGGTTAATTCGGCTCCTGGTAAAAACCTCCTAAACAACGAACACTAAAGGAATTCAAACCAGGAGAAGTTTCAGGCGGTTGCACTCTGCAATCCTCAGGGCTAGATGCCATTAAATTTCCCTAAATCTTACACACTTGACCTTTAAACGTGATGATTTATAGGCCAAATACTCCAGATTTATTTACTCAACATTTTATTTTCAACCTTTTTAGATGACATTAACCGTGTTTCCATAAATGTATTTTTAAGCACATTTATTGCATTTGAAAAGATTTATGAAAATGGCAAAATTTATTAAAACTTCCTCAGTTTTTTCGCTCACTTTAGGTGGTTTTGGCATTTTTGTGCATAAGAGTTGATGTGATAAATGGAATATGGCAACGCCTTTGCTGAAAAAAAATCTGACATCACATGACTGATCAGCTGTTTCCACTGTTGGAGTCTTTCATGTCAGCGTGTTAGCATTCTCGGAACCCATCGGCTGTATTCGGCGTCTGACTTCCGGCAGACGGCGATACAGCCTCTGGGGGCAGACCCCCGATTTTTTGGCATTCCGGTTTGATTTGGGCGGAGGAGGCGAATTTCCGTTTCCGACTTCAGTTTATAAGTAAATATGCTGAACCATTGCGATGGATTCAGAGTTTGCAGTGACGCCAATCATGTTCCGCCTCGTTAGTTCACCGCACGGGCCGTTTAACCTGGCAACAACTGCAGCCGGCTCAAACATGGTTGGTCAATATCACGCGGACTACAAACAGCCTACAACGGGAAAGTTTGAGTTTGAACAGCTGGGGCAAAAGTTAAGGACAGTAGATCCTGACACGACACCCCTCTGTCACGTGGCCAGTCAGGAGATGGAGCTGAGAGAGAAAATAAAATAACACAATATTTTCAACCAAACATCTCAATATCTCAATATTGACATTGCTATTGGTGTTTTCACAGTATTGATATAATATTGATATATTACCCAGCCCCATTGTTATTATTGACAAACAAAAAGGCACAAAAAAGGATGAATCATAAATCATGTGAAGATCATTGGATGTTTGAGCAGTCAGTTAGGAAAATAACAAGCTTGCAGGAGTCCGGTGGTTTCTTTCTTCTAAAACCTTTGGGTCACCCATTAATAAATGCCAGGATGTTGCCTGCTGCTACATAATTCAGTGTGTTTTATTGACGTGTTAGGAGATTGAAATCAGTACCTGGTGCTCGGAGCGGCAGCCCATTGTCCAGACCTCTGGGTTTGGTGGTGATGAACAGATAGCAGAGGACACAGAGTGTGACGATGAAGGCAAGAAGAACCACGGCTGCTACAGAGAGACCCACGAGAGCTCCGAGACTAAAAGACAGAGAGAGGAGACACAGAAGGACTATCAGCATGCTCTCACATTGCTGTACAACAGAATAAATGATACACTCAATGCATAAAAATGTGGACATTGATTTCAATTTTTAAATATTTCTTTTCTTTCTGTTAAAGGAAAATTCTGATTCACTGGGGCGATTTGTAGCCGAGTGTGAAGCGGACGGGATGAGAGTCAGCACCTCCAAATCTGAGGCCATGGATCTCTCTGGAAATGGTGGATTGCCCTCTCTGGGTTGGGAGAGAGTTACTGCCCCAAGCGAGGGAGTTCAAGTATCTCGCAGTCTTGTTCACAAGTGAGGGTAAAATGGAGAGTGAGATGGATCATTTGGCTCGGCATCTGCAGTGACGCGCGCGCTGTGCCAGACTGTTGTGGTGAAGAGGGAGCTGAGCCAGAACGTAAAGCTTTCGATTTATGGGTCCATCTACGTCCCAACCCTCACCTGTGGTCATGAGCTCTGGGTAGTGACCAAAAGGATGAGATCAGGGATACAAGCAGCTGAAATGAGTTTCCTCCATGGGGGCGCTGGGCGCAGCCTTAAAGAGAAGGCAAGGAGCTTGGACGTCCGTAAGGAGCTTGGAGTAGAGCTGCTGCCCCTTTGCATCAAAAGGGATATACTCCTAGGCACCTCCCCTTAGAGGTGTTCCAGGCACATCCTACTGGTAGGAGGCCCCGGGGCAGACCCAGGACACACTGGAGGGATTACATATCTTGTCTGGCCTGGGAACGCCTCGGGGTCCCCCAGGAGGTGCTGGAAAGCGTTGCTAGGGAGAGGGACATCTGGAATACTTTGCTCTGCCTACTGCCCCTGCAACCTGGCTTCGAATAGGCGTTTGAAAATGGATGGATGGATGGATGGATGGTTTGTTTTCTTTCACACCACAAATGAACCACACCAGAGTCCGTTTGGAAGTGGACTGAGACCCACCTTTTTGAGCCGTCTTGGTTTGGTTCAGTCGGCCCAAAGAAACATACTAACCACGCAAATGGAACTGAGTTCGGTTTAACCGAACCAAACAGGTTGAAAGCACCCTTATTGTTATTGTTTTCTTGAAGTGTACTGTATGATAATCTACTGGCAAAAAATAAATAAAATAACAACGAGGTTTTACACAGTTGATACATTTTTCAGTGAAGTTAGTTAATGTGTTGAACAGGCAACATCTGCTTGTCTTCCTTCCTTTGCATGGGAGAAACTGAATATTTATTTCCATATCTTATGAGACTGTCACCGGTAGCTTGTGACTCACCGTGATGTAATGTATATGAAGGTACATTTATTCTAAGTAAAGAACATTTATACAGTACATGTCATGTAATTCCAGTGGCTCTGAATCATCTGCACAATCACAGAAAATTGTCACAGCCATAGGCGTGCTCCAGTATTTTCCCCGTGTGTTTCCCATGTCCCTGTCTTCCCTTCTCTCCTGTCTTCACTCTGCACTCTCTTTCTCTCTGCTGGTTCTCGTCTCAACCTGCATGCCTGCCATCAATCTGCTCATCATCATCTCTCCTGCATATCAACACCGGCTCTTCACCCACTCAAATACTGCGGCAGCTGCGCTCAGGCAAAGCGCAGCATCTCACTGAATGGTTTTCCGCGTGGATTTGTGTTCAGTGTTTACGCTTGTTTGTTTTCCTGTGCTTCAGGAATCCTGTTCGCTCACCTGCCAACTCATTCCTGCCATTCCTTCACCTTGGTCGTCTCCTGCTACAGTAGCACCAACAATAAACCTGTTAAACTTTATCTGCCCACTGGTTAGTGCTCTGCATTTGGGTCCACTTGATTAGATTAGATTCATTTATTGTCATTTGCACAGGTACACTGAAGTGTTTATGCACATCTCTCACTCTCACACACACACACAAAACACACACACACACACAAAAAGAGCAGCATAAACACAAAAGATACACACTCTATAAAAGTGGTAAACACTATAAACTATAAAAATACATGCTATGAATAATTGCACAGTGATTGACTGCACAAGACAATGGGCTGGGAAAAGACTCTGAATGACAGAGATAAGGTTGTCCTTTTCTTCCTAACAAACATTTTCTCTTCTGCATGGTCCCAGTTTATGTACATTTGTTCAAGTGACATTCGTCAAACCATAATGGATCCAAACAAATCATGGCGCAATGTGAGACTTTATGAAAATCACAGCCCAGCTGCCAAAAGAAAATGTTGGTATTGTACATTTCTGCAAACACACATCACCTCAGCCTTTCAGACGCAATGTTTTTCTGAATACATGTATATGAGCTGATTTTGTCACCAGTAAGTGGAGGGGATGGTGGATGATGAGACACCTAGGCGAGACAGCTGCCAAGATGCAAACCACTGTTCAAGACCAACACACAACAATACTGTTTTTCTAGTGAACATCAGTAGCAGCTCCAGTTCCAGTGTTTGTTCCACTGAAACTGAGTGTTTTTAGCAAGACAGTGGCTGCATTTCCAGCAGTTGTTGTGCAACAAAAACCAGATGTTTTTATTGTGAGATATCAGCGCCGGCATTGGTGGCATTTCCAGCTGTGATTGTTCCATCAAAAGTGGATGTTTTTGGCAAGACATCTGTGACATTTTCTACAGTGACTGTTCCACCAAAACCCAGTGTTTTTAGCAAGACAGTGAATGCATTTCCAGCGGTTATTGTGCCGCTGAAACCAGGTTTTTTTAGGGGAAACATCAGTGGCATTTCCAGCCGCAATTATACCACAAAAACTGTGTGTTTTTGGCAAGACATTGGCAGCATTTCCAGCTATGATAGTGCCACCAACACCAAGTGTTTTAGCATCACACAGGCAGCATATCCTACAGTGATTGTTTCACCAAAACCAGATGTATTTAGCAAGGCAACGGTGGCATTTCCAGCCATAATTGTTCCACCAAAACTGGGTGTTTTTAGTGAGACTTTGGTAGTATTTTCAGCAGTAATTGTGCCACCAAACCAAGAGTGTCTAGCCGTGATTGTTCCACCAAAACTGGGTGTCTTTGGCAAGAGATTGGCAGCATTTCCAGCTATGATTGTGCCACCAAAAAGTGTGTTTTTAGCGAGACATTGGTGGTATTTCCAGCAGTAATTGTGCCACCAAACCAAATGTTTTTAGTGAGACATCAGCAGCATTTCTAACCGTGATTGTTCCACCAAAACTGGGTGTCTTTGGCAAGAGATTGGCAGCATTTCCAGCTATGATTGTGCCACCAAAAAGTGTGTTTTTAGCGAGACATTGGTGGTATTTCCAGCAGTAATTGTGCCACCAAACCAAATGTTTTTAGTGAGACATCAGCAGCATTTCTAACCGTGATTGTTCCACCAAAACTGGGTGTCTTTGGCAAGACATTGGCAGCATTTCCAGCTATGACAGTGCCACCAAAACCAAGTGTTTTAGCAAGACATATGCAGCATTTCAAGCTGTGATTGTTTTACCAAAACTAGGTTTTTGTAGCAAGGCAACGGTGGCATTTCCAGACATAATTGTTCCACCAAAACTGGGTGTTTTTAGCAAGACAGTGGGTGCATTTCCAGTGGTTATTTTGCCACTGAAACCAGGTTTTCTTTAAGGGAAACATCAGTGGCATTTCCAGCTATGATTGTGCCACCAAAAAAGTGTGTTTTAGTGAGACATTAGTGGCATTTCCAGCAGTAATTTTGCCACCAAACCAGGTGTTTTTAGTGAGACATCAGCAGCATTTCCAGCCCTGATTGTTCCACCAAAACTGGGTGTTTTTGGCAAGACATTGGCGGCATTTCCAGCTATGATAGTGCCACCAATCCCAGTGTTTTTAGCGAGACATTGGCAGCATTTCCAGCCATGATTGTTCCAACAAAACCAGGCATTTTTTAGCCAACACATGTTCTTCTCTTAACCAAGTTGTTTGTGCCCAAACATAACCACACATTAACCAACTTTGTTTAAACTAAAAAATTTTCAACAAATATGGTAGATTTTTGTCATAATGTACAAATGTTACATATCTGTGTTTTGCAGAAATGCACAATGCCAACATTTATTCTGCTGTTTGGGTTGGAAAATCCAAATGCTGCTAACTTCAACCTTTACATGCCTATTTTCACATGCAGTGAATGTAATTTAGTTACTGTAACAAAAACAAAAATCAAGCTGTATGGAAATATGCAAGATGTCTACAAGACGTATACAATATATTAATTGTCTTATGGCTGATGTGCTTCAGCTCCGAGCAGCCGAGTGCTTCAGTGTTCTGCATTCACACTTTATCATATGAACGCCTACTCTGAGCCCCAACACAGTAAAACATTCAGTAAAAGCACCCTAGTGTTACGTGGAATTCTTTTTACACATAATGACACATAATGATGCAAAATGGCCAGACGTGCTCCTCAGAGGCAGCTAATGAAAAATGCCAACACAGATGAGGTGGTTGACATTCTGTTGTGATATGGAATTGTAAAACCAAGTATCATTGAATGCTCTGATTTTCACAACATTGCTGTGCATTATTTTATTACTTGCTTCCCTGTGGTGATATGTAACCATGCAGATAGACTTGGTTTTATTTAACCTGGTTTTGCAATATCTATGAAATCTCTGCACCTCATGGGTGGAGGTGAAATTTTGTATGTTTGTAGGGCTGCACATTCATTCATTCATTTATTTTCTGTAAGTGCTTAACCTGTTAAGGGTCACGGGGGGCTGGAGACTATCCCAGCTGACATTGGGCGAGAGATCGGATACACCCTGGACAAGTCACCAGACTCGCACAGGGCTGACACATAAAGACAGACAATCACTGACACTCACATTGACACCTACGGACAATTTAGAGTCACCAATTAACCTGCATGTCTTTGGACTGTGGGAGGAAGCCAGAGAACCCTGAGAAAACCCACGCTGACACAGGGAGAACATGCAAACAGACAACCATTCACATATTCACACCAAGGGCTGCACAATTAATCAGAAATATTACTGATATCATAATTTGACCAAATGCAATAACCAAATAGCAGGAGTTAGTTGCATTTTTTTCATAAAGGTGAAATATGTCACAATACCAGTCAGAATAATCACAATATTTCTTTGCATATTGTGCAGCCCTGTTTGTTGTGCACTCACAATGATATACTCACACCTCACTGTGAACATTTCTAAGTGGAGCTACTGGAGAAAGACACACAACTGTTGACAGTGCAAGAAAAAGTTGCATCAGTGCATCCTTCCTTAGGCAATATTTTCTACAGTGTTTGTGGAACATTTTACACTGCACCACATCTGACAGTTTAGCTGTTAAATTTGACATTAAAGGCAAGGTGACATTAAAATTCCTTAAGATGCAAAATGAGTCAGAACAGTTCTCAAGACCATTCGTGTTTTATAAATCAAACGTCTTCCTAATTAGGCTTGCTCTCTTACCACAGCTAATTAGCCTGATTGAAGCCAAACAGTGACAGACTGCAAAATTCAACAGGTTCTGAACTCACTGACATAAATAAGATTATGTGCTTGCAGTATCAACTCCACACATGCACGTTTTAACACCTAAAAAGCTCTATTGCAGAAAAAAGCTGTATGTTTTGTGTAGAATTAGTCTGCTGCAGGAGAAAGCGCGTCTAATGATGCTCAGTGCGCTCTGCAGATTATATGATGCTTACATTCACTCTCCACTATACACTTCTGACAGAAATAAAATGCAACAGCTCAGTCTGACTGCGCTTTTCTCCTCTTACCTTAACCACCACATGTATCCATATTCGTATGGGAAAAAGCTGTTGGGGTCATCACAGCAGTACTTCAGGTCACTGAACCCGCAGCAGAAAAGTGCCGTGGTGTCACTGTCCGCTTTCGGACACCTGAATCCCTCCACGAACACGTTTTCTTTGCTGTAGTAACTTTCACAGTCCGAGCTCATATCGGATACAGGCTGTCCGCACATGGACAGCCGGATGCGGTGTGGCGCACATTAACACCCGCTCTCATCCTGCGCATCTCCCATCGCTGCAACTCCGCATCAGCGGCTGAGGAGAGTCTGATCCTGGAGCTGCACACTCCAGACTGACTGCATGGAGGTGCCGCACACTGACTCTCCCTCTCTGTGCGTCTCTCTTTCTCTCTCTCACTGCAGGCTGCATCCATCAATGGCTACATAAAAATGAATTAATGACCCACATGAGTCACATAAGGCTGGAAGGGGTAGGGGCTAATGTTGCGGTGGTGGGGACATCATCAAGAAGCAGCACCTGATATGATCCAGTGCAGAAAAGAGTGAGACTTTTTAACAAGATAACTAGATGAAAAATTATAGCTGCTGCGCAGCAATGGTCGGGCCGGGCAATTTCAGGCAAAATTAGGCAATTCTGAGCAACAAGCAGAGAGTAGGAAGATAAAAAAAAGGTGGCATTCTGCATAAGAGACTATGCTCTTTCTCACTGAGCTAATTAGCAAGACACAACTCTGTGGTATATATGTTTAAAACTTCTTCTAGCTCATTATACTGATAAGAAGTCATAATTCATCATAAAACACTGAATGTGTGATATATGTAAAAGCCCATGTGAAAAATGTAATACACACACACTAAAACAAAGCATATCACAACATAGAAGTGACATCATATAATTATGGCATGCCCTTCAAATTGTGGATGAGTGGCTGAAGTGATCAGACTCATAATATACAAAGGAAAGAAAAAACTCAAGAATAAGAAAGTAAGAATAACATTAACTGCTAGCAATTATGGACAAACTGGCCTGATCTAGCTTAAAGCTAAACATTATCCATGGTGACAAAGATGAAAACATTTTTAAAAATGTAAGAGTAGCTATTGGATAGACTCTGCATATTGACTGATAGCTAAGCCAAATAAACAGGGAAAAGAGACATGGGATAACAGGGGAAAGTGTTGATAAAGAGTATTTGTCTCTCCGCAAAACTGCCTGGATCATAATTATTTTAACCTTGGTAGTCTCTAATCCACATAGCAGGATGCCTGAACATAGAATTTTCACATTAGAATGTCTGTTCTGCCTTAGCTGAGGCTTGAACTCACAACTTTTGAGACTGAGGTCCATCTTCTGTCTCACTGAGCTAATTGGCAAGTGACAGTTCATGTGTGGCTTCACAAATTGACTAAGCCAAGCATCAGGGTGCCAGACAGTAGCCATCCATGCAATGGAAAAGCAAATTTCAAAGTGAAAGTTCCAAAGCTGTAGCACATATGGTTGATTTGTTATGAAATTTCAAAGTTTTGAAATTTAGAGACTTGCTGTAGCGCCACCATCAGGACTATTGTCTTGTGTTTCCAGCTGAGGACATCTGGCATGGGACTGGACCTTTATGAAAAGTTTGGGTAGATTTCTCATATGGAATTGTTGCACGAGCTGAGGCTTGAACTCACAATCTTCAACACCAAGAACCATCCTCTATCTCACTGAGCTAATTGGCAAACAGAAATGTCACATGTAGCTTCACAAATTGACTAAACCTGCGTCCAAGACAGCAGCTGTTAGTGTGTAAAGGCAGATTTCAAACGGCTGTCAAAAATTCAGTTATTAAGACAAAAATCCGAAAATACACATATTGCATCTAGACAGCATGGAGATGTTGGTAATTTGTCTTTAACAATGATTTATTGGCTCCATAAGTGAAAAACTGATGTTTAAAAATGCCATTTTTGCATTGACTCCAATTGTTCGCATGATAGCGAAATTCAAAATGCTGTAAAAAATTCAGTTTTTGAGATAAAATTCTGATATTTTCCAGACATCATCTACCATGACTCCAAAATTTTGTATTTTTTTTTAATGAACATTGAAAATGTATTTAGCAAGAATTTGTAAGTATATGTTTACAATACCATTTACAGTCAAACATTTTGATGCACTGTAGGTTCAGTTTTCAAAAATCTGTGTGGATCGTTTGTGTAGGACAGTCTGAAGATGCTCTGTAGCAAGTTTGGTGTCAATTGAGCAAAAATTGTGGGAGGAGATAGGTTTTACAAGTTTTAGAGTTTTTTTAAAAAAAAACAGAGTGATGGACTTAATAATTTGCAATAGGTTTAAATGTACAAAAGTTTCTTCAGTATTGTGGCTACATTTTGGTGAAAGTTGCAAATCAGTAACACATATGGTTGATTTGTTGTGAATTTCCAAAATTTTGAACTTTAGAGGCTTGCTGTAGCGCCACCATCAGGATTATTGGCCTGTGTTTGCCGCTGAGGCAATCTGGCATAGGACTGGACCTTTGTGCAAAGTTTGGTGATTTTTCGCGCATGGGAAGTAGGATTTCCTCGGAAGAAGAAGAAGAAAGAAGAAGAAGAAGAAGAACATGTAGGATAACAATAGGGTCCTGGCAGCTTAGGCTGGGAATTATGAATGACTGTGCTAAATTCAATGACAATCAATTTGTTTAAATGAGCAGTATGTAGGATTTAGTGGCATCTAGCAGTGAGCAGGGCTGTTTCAAGACCCTCTGGGGGCCCTAGGCAAGAGGCACCTTCAAAGCTGAAAAGCTCCTCTCACCAGAGGCAACAGAGAAAGGAAGAGTCAAAATGAGACGCAGTGCAATGCTTAGATTACTGTACAGATCCAGAAGATTTTCACTGTATATGTAATTTAGCATGTCATTTGGGGAGGTGGAGGCATGGTCAGGAAAAGTAATGATGGCAGAATTGATCTCCAGTTCTAAATCCTCTGCCTCAATGTCATGCATTGTTTGCTCCAAGTTCTTGCAACTTGCATGAAGCTTGCCACTCTTTGCTGCCTGTTGTAGAAAACCGTAGAGGGCACAGACATCCTCCATCTTCGAGAATCTGTCATTCAGGCAGATCATTCATTCTGAGGGCAGTGTCTACTAAAGGGAGAAAGAACTCCCTTCTGTAAGACTCATCTGGACTGGACTGAGTTTCTTCTGTACCCTCGTGCTGAAATCGTTTTGCTGCTTTTCTCTGCCTTTTCTCTGGAAGCTTTCTTTCAATTTCCAGTTCCTCTGCAATTTCTACTGCATCAGATTGACAGGAAGCAAGCCCATTCTCCCTGAACTTTTCAAGGTACTGTCTCACTCCGTCTGTTTCTGCTCTAAGTGTTTCCAGAGAAACATCTGGACTTTGCAGCAGCTTGCTCACATGGTTAACTTGGTACAAAACATTGTACCAGATCATGGTGCACAACAGAAAACGCCAGGAGTTAAGCTCATCATGCAAACCGTTGGCAGTGGACATTGTTTCTGAATCCCTCTTCACCACTGCAAATGTCTGAAGAGCAACCAGTGCTTGCAGAATCTGTGGTAGCTGGTATCGCACCACCTTCACACTTTCAATCCGAACCTCCCATCTTGTTGTTGACAAAGGTTTGAGAGTAAGTTGCTTAACATGCTCCTTCAGAATTGCCCAGCGTTGCACAGATGGACAGGACTGAAGACTTTGCAGCATCTGCCACAACTAGATTGAGTGTGTGACTGCTGCAGGTGACACAATGCTTTGCTGTTATGTTGCAATATTCTTGCCTGAACACCCTGTTTTTGTCCCATCATGTTGCTGCCATTGTCATATGACTGGCCACGGCAATCAGGAATGTTTAGGCTGTGTTTCTGAAGATGTCCCAGCAGAGTTTCAGTCAGACCCTTACCAGTTGTGTCCTCAACATCCAAAAATCCAAAGAAATGCTCAGCAATAGAGACACCAACTGATGATTCACAATTCACAATTCTCAGAACAATGGAAAGTTGTTCTTTGTGACTGATGTCAGGGGTGCAATCCATGATGACAGAGAAGTACTTGGCTTTGGTCATTCTTCTCACTATATCTTCAAGGATTTTGTCTCCAACTAGTGTTATTATTTCATTTTGAATGACCGCACTCAAGTAGTGTACTTGAGTGGGTTTCTTTGTTTTGAATCCTTCTGACATGTTCAGTCAGCACCGGATCAAACTGTGCCATCAGTTCCACTAAGCCGAGGAAATTCCCATTGTGATCACCATATAGCACGTTTGAAAACCCCCTCAAGGCTTGATTGTGCTCAGCCAGATGACAGATTATAGAGATCAATCTTCTGATGACACCCTTCCAATTCTCAGTCTCAATCTGCATCAAACTCTGAATAGTTTCATCTATGGCTGTCTTTGTTTGCAATCTTTTCTGCAGATCATGCCAGCTTCTCATATTCTCACAATGTGTCTGTGTATATTCATGGTCTTTCAGATGTTTGGCTAGGTTCTTCCATCCACAATAGCCACTACTGCTTAAACCGTTGTCACGCTTTCCAAAAAGAGTGCAAGGGAAACAGAATACTGCATCTGTGCTGACAGAGTACACTAACCATGAACGTTGGATCTTCTCACTATTTTTCATTGATATGTTGTAATGTTCTTTTGTGAATCTCCTGGGAGGGTTTTCGGAATTTTGAGGGAAGTCCATGCCTGTAATTTGGACTGGTCCTTTTGTAACAATTTGACAATGAGCATTATCGTTGATGGATTTTGGCCACTGCTCAGGATCATCTGATATTATGTGAGGTGTCAGAGTCAGAGTACCTTGTGTTGATATGGTGTCAGGGGATGGTGAAGAAGAGGAGGTGGTGTTATGGGGTGGTGAAGAGGAGGTGGTGTCGGGGTGGTGAAGAGGAGATGGTGTCGGGGGTGGTGAAGAGGAGATGGTGTCAGGGGGTGGTGAAGAGGAGGTGGCGGAAAGAAGTGGCGTGGCCTCAATTTGTGAAGGAGGTGTCATGCTGCATGAAGCTTCCATGTCCTCCTGTTCATCATCTTCATCAAGGTCCTCCTCCTCGTCATGACCTGAGGTTGATATTGCTGCGAAAGAATAAAATGCATAAATGAGTATAAAATTAAAAAGTATGAGAAGTCATTGTGTAAGACAAATAATTGTGTAGTCATTTTAAATTAAACAATCTCATGACAGATTTAAACTGGAGAGCAGATCCCTCTGAGGCTCAATGAAGTTATTCTTATTCTTAGTTATTCTTATTTCTTACATCACAGTGAACTGAGAATAACTTCCT